CCCCCCCCACAGCCCCCACACAGCCCCCCACACAGCCCCACCCCCCCCCCACAGCCCCCCCACACCCCCCACACACACACCTACACCCCCCCCCACCCCCACCCCCACAGCCCCCACACACAGCCCACACCCCACAGCCCCCACACACCCCTACACCCCGTCACACACACACCTCTACACCCCCTCACACACCCCCCCCACAGCCCCACACCCCCCACACACAGCCCCACACCCCCCCCACAGCCCCCCCCCCACACACACACACCCCCCACAGCCCCTCCACACACACACACACACCCCCACAGCCCCTCCACACACACACACACACACACCCCACACCCACACACACCACACCCCCCCACAGCCCCCCCACACACACAGCCCCACACCCCCCCCCCACAGCCCCCCCACACACACCACCACACCCCCCACAGCCCCCCCCACACACCACACCCCCACAGCCCCCCCCCCCCCCCACACACACCACCCCCCACAGCCCACACACCCCCCCACAGCCCCACAGCCCCCACACCCCCCCCACAGCCCCCACACCCCCCCACACCCCCCCCGAAGCCCCACACCCCCCCCACAGCCCCCCCACACACCCCACACACACCTACACCCCCACACCCCCCCCCCACAGCCCCCACAGCCCCCCCATACCCCACACACCCCCCACACACACACAGCCCCACAACCCCACAGCCCCCACACACACAGCCCCACACCCCCCCACACCCCCCACACCACACACCACACCCCACACCCCCCCCCACAGCCCCCCCACACACAGCCCCACACCCCCCACACACAGCCCCACACCCCCCCCAGCCCCCCCACACCCCCACCCCCCCCCACAGCCCCCCCACACCCCCACACACACCCCCACACACCACCACACACCCCCCCCACAGCCCCCACACCTACACCCCCACACCCCACACCCCACACCTACACCCCCACACCCCCACAGCCCCCCCACACACCCCCACCCCCCCACACACCACCACACACCCCCCCACAGCCCCCCACACCTACACCTACACCCGCACACCCCCACACCTACACCCCCACACACACCCCCACACCTACACCCCACACACACACACACCCCCACACACACCTACGCCCCCCCCCCCCACACACACACACCTACACCCCCACACCTACACCCCTACACACACACACACACCTACACCCCACACCTACACCCCC